AAGAGCTCTAGACCCTGGCATCTTCCAGACAGAAGTCGAAAACCGGAGACCTAGTTGTGTTTTCTTAGACTACGAAAAATGAAGTGGCTCAACAGCGTTTGCCCCCAGGGCATCCCTCCAGAGCCGAAGCCAATGCCCTACTTGCGTGTCCCAGTGTGTGTGTGTGTGTGTGAGTGAGTTAGTGAGTGCGTTTGTCGGGCGTAATTTTACATTGTGAGTAAATATTACTTTGCTCCGGCTCGACGCGTGTAAGCCTTACCCTCCGCTGTTCAAGGGTCGGTACTTGTGATGGAATCATTGAGCTTAGAGTTAAGGTCCTGCTCTCGACCTGCTCCTCTATGACCATCATTAAAACCGGACGAGGCCACTACTCACACACGTTCACACCTTCGCCACGGAAAACGTAAAATTATTTTCCTGATTTTTTGTCCTCAGTCAATTATAAATTGTTGAGTTGATGATTTGTTGATCGTCGTGCGCTAATGACTTGAATGTCGAAGAGTTAAATTGCAGTTGATTGTGTGCGCGCATAAGTTGACGACGTAGTACAACGGTGAGACAATTATCACAGGGTTTAAGTTGAGGGTTAGGGGTGGGGGAATGGTGTCTATCCCTGATGATGAGAGATGTTAGGACGGACGGCAAAAGGGGTGAGAGGTGTGGGTGGGGGGTGTCTCTTCAATGATTTCACGAACGTTTTCTGATTGGCATATTTTCGAAGAAATATGAGATACAGAGATCTGAAGATGTAGAAAGTTAGAGATATAGAGAAATTAACTACACTGTAAAACAAAAAGAAAGCGTTTGTAAAGGGTTAATGTATCGTACAGCACTCTCTGTGTATATAATGATCAAACGGGCACTAAAGGGTTAATGTATCGTACAGCACTCTCTGGGTATATAATGATCAAACGGGCACTAAAGGGTTAATGTATCGTACAGCACTCTCTGTGTATATAATGATCAAACGGGCGTTAAAGGGTTAATGTACCCTACAGCACTCTCTGGGTATATAATGATCAAACGGGCACTAAAGGGTTAATGTATCGTACAGCACTCTCTGGGTATATAATGATCAAATGGGCGTTAAAGAGTTAATGTATCGTACAGTGCTCTCTGGGTATATAATGATCAAATGGGCGTTAAAGGGTTAATGTATCGTACAGCACTCTCTGGGTAATAATCAATTGCAGTACTGACAGCCATTTTTCGCTCATACAAAGGGATGATTCCCAGAGAACCAGGAAACTCCAAGTAAGACACCCAATATATGGCTTCAGGATGTTCAAGAAGACGGACTTACCAATGTCAAGGTCAAACTCAAAACAATTAACCCGATGATCACGTGACCAGGTGTATTATATTAGGTCAAGACAAGTATCTGACAAAACACGAGAAGATCGATACCACCCACTTTCCCCACTGCAACGCGTCGTTCTATGGGCGATATCGATTCTTTCATTAAAAAAAAAAGAAAATTAAATCTGAAGTCCACTTGTCGTCGACTCATCACACTTGGCCCCTCCGTGGGGCCGCCACTGAAGTGACTCCGATTTGTCGATTAAGCTAATTACTCGAGACAACGAGGTATTTAGTCCAAGTGAGTTAAATCCCCTTTTCGTGAATTTTGAATGCAAGATCCGTGTGTTTGACAATAGAACTCGTCCGTGTGTTTGACAGTAGAATTCGTCCGTGTGTTTGACAGTAGAGCTCGTCCGTGTGTTTGGCAGTAAAACTCTTCCGTTTGATTGACAGTAGAACTGGTCAGTGTGTTTGACAGTAGAACTGGTCCTTATGTTTGACAGTAGAACTGGTCCTTGTGTTTGACAGTAGAACTGGTCAGTGTGTTTGACAGTAGAACTGGTCCTTGTGTTTGACAGTAGAACTGAACAGTGTGTACACAGACAGTCTCAGGTACGCAGACACTTTTTCTTAGACTTCTTCTTGTAACATAGGAGTTATGTTGGTTGAAGTGCTATACACAATTTATATCACAGATGAAGGACAATTGAGTTGCAAATAGCCCCATGATTTAAAGAATTATTTTTTATTCTGAAAAAATATTGATCTGTATGCAGGTTTTTAAAAATATTTTTGCTTTAAAAAAGATTCGATTATTAGTAAAGTCTCCACCATTTGAATCTCTATGTTAAAGTCATCACCAGGGTTAATTTGTAAACTTGAACTTGAAATCTGTTTACTTTCCGAGAGTCACACATATCTTTACACGCTCCTTTAAAATTAAAGTGGGGGCACGATGGTAGGGGCATGGACGTGGGGGGCACTATGGTGAGGGCAAGATGGTGGGGACAAGATGGTGGGGCATGATGGTAGGGCAAAATGATGGGGACACAATGGTGGGGCATGATGGTGGGGCATAGCGGTGGGGCATGGTGGTGGGGCATGGTGGTGGGGCATGGTGGTGGGGCATGGTGGTGGGGCATAATGGTGGATGATAACCAATGTAGGCAAATGAAAAATTCTTGCAAACTCAAAGCGTTCTTTGATAACTATGCACGTGTGATCTTCACGTCCCTTGGTGTGACCTTGACGACCCTGCGCGTTAGAGCGACCCCCTTTTCACTTAATGATCGATCTACTCACGGCACTTCAAGCAAGAGTAATCCAGAGTTACCTACCTTCCTTCACCATGCCAACAGCCAAACATTTCTGGAAACGACAAAACTGGCAGCGGTTCCTTCTCCGCTTGTCGACGGGGCAGTTCTTGTCTGCTAGACACACGTACTTGGCATTCTTCTGAACGGTGCGCTGTTGGGCGAGATGGGGTCAAGAACTATGATTGGCCGACAGACACATCTCGGGGGGGGGGGGGGGGGGGAGGGGGGAGGAATAATTAAACTATGGGCCTAGATGTTATAATTCAGATTGCCGGCATTTTTATTTTAAAAAATATATTTCTTTAAAAAAAAAATAATAATAAACTAAGTATTTGAGAAATGTTGAAAATATTTTAAAGAATTATAATGAATACTTTTCAACATAATTTGTAAAGAATTGAATTTAAAAAAATATTTAAAAAAAACAATAGATTTAACATTTTTAAAGCCAAAAAAGATTCCTAAACTCTGTTTGTAGCATGCTGCCATTGAAATATATTTCAACCGTTTATTTTAGGACTCAGGCGTCTTTAGTCACCAACAGAATGAAACAGGTGCAACATAATAGTTTGGAAAACCTCATTTATGGTGGGAATATAATAGTTTGGAAAACCTCATTTATGTTGGGAATGTCCCTAAATAAAAAGAAAAAAAGAAAGCCGAGGTTGGGGGGGGGGGGGGGG